GAAACAGTATTTAAACTTGCCACATTGCCTTGCAACTTCTAGAAATGTATCGTTTCCATACTTTCTGGCAAGATTCCGTTTCAGTCAAGCTGCATTCAGAGACCTGCTGTTGTGGTGGTCCGTGTTTTCTTCTCCCCTACCCTTAAAGTGAGATGTCACTGCTTTTTTTCCCCCTTTCTAATCACTGTAGCTTCTCTTCCAACCACTTCCCTACCCCTGGAACATTGTTGGACAATCCTGCCTGCCTTCTTTTTAGTTTCCCAGGCTAACATTCTCTTCCTGTCCACATCCTCTGCTTCTTAGGCTGTAACTGTAGAAAATGCCAGTGTCTCCTCTAAGCTCATCTCAATCAGGAGGGAACCTCTAACTTGTTTTCTTTTTCCTGATGTTTTCATTGCAGGAGTTTGGTTGGAAGCAAAATTTTTTAATGGACTTGCTGCATCTCCTCACCTTGATCAGGACTAAGGACGGAGGCCGCTCACTCCTTTCCTTTCCTCCAAATCCCTAACTCCCTTGAAACACCCAGGGAATACCCTCCGCCCTACAGAATTGAAGATTGCTTGGCAGCCCTCCCAACCCCACACCTCCTGTTTTTCCAGTGGGGTGGACTCTGAAGACTTGTGTGGTTGGAAGGAGTGGCAGACAGGAAGAAAACAACTTGTCCAGGCCCCTGGTCTCCATAGAGAATGGTGCTTTGTCCAAGGAAACAAACCGAGTTTGATTCTCCAGGAGCAGTTTAGTGGTGAGGTTGATGGGAAGACTTCTTTCCCAGGAAAAATGGATCCTTTATGTGGGGTCTGAGAGAGTGACTGGGCATGCTAAACATGCTCAGGTCTGCCCTCAGCACTCGCTGTGATGGAGCCAAGAGGGTCCACAGCCCTTGCTAACATACCACTTGTTTGTTTAACTCCTTTACCTTCCCAGCCCTCTGAGGAGGGACCACAAGAACAGAAGTGACCTTAGGAAAGGTACATCTGTTCTGGCTTTCCCTCGCACATACTGACGGTTTCCTTCCCTGAGCTCTCAGAGGACCGAACCCTTTCCACTCCCCCTGCCCAGCCGCTTCAGTGGACTTGTCCCTCCTAAGCAAAGAAGGCCCCTGAGGTTGCTTTCTGCTGGGAAGACTGGCAGAGCCAATTACCACCTTCTGCTGCTTAGTGCTTGGTTGCCTGTTGCAATAACCAGCTCTATTAGGTGTTCCCTTTCCCAAGGGCTTTTTCCATTTAACACATGGAGCCCTTCCTTCCCCCATGAAGGCTACTTCCTTGTTTTAGAGGAAGGTACTGCCATTGGGAGATGGGGATAATCGGGACCTCAGCAGTGAAGACTGTAAAATTACCAAGAAGAGCGGGGAGAGAGGCAAGTTGGGCAGGATGTAATCTACTTCCATAGGCTTTTCTTTTTTCAGGTTGGATGTAAGCTTGGCCTTGCATCCCCCAGGTACATACTTAGCGTGAGATGACCTGGCACTGGTAGGCAGGTAGTCGCAATCTGGTGTCTTTCCACCTTTTGACTAGTGACTTAACTCCCCTCACTCTGCCTGGAGGTACTTCTTGCTTCTGCTGAGGATGCAATGGAGCCTGAGGACTGAAGTCAGCTCCGGGTTCTAAGGACCAGCACTCTGGGGGCTATTTCTACTCAGGCAACTGGAACTTCCTTTTCCTGTAACATCCAAATTGTGATGTGGTTACTGCTGGAGGAGGAGGTGGCCACAGGGTCCTGCAGTACCCATGGAGCGATTCTTCTGCGTGGCAAATGACAGCTAATGTGAAGAGACGTGGCATGTGGGATGAGACTTGGCATGTGAGGCGTAGGGTTGCTGGAGATCCTCTAGTTCAGAGGAGAAAAAACTGAATTGGACTGAACCCTTCCTCTGTTCCCAGCATGATTTCTGACACAGCCCTCAGGCGCTGAGGGAATGCCCAGGGCTGGAGAGGCACATTCCCTTGGGACAGAGGCTACTGGTTGTAGCTTTTTTCTCCCTGTCCCCCAACCCGGTCCCTACCTCCACTTCAGAACGAGGCACCCCGCCCAGTCAGCCAAGTGTTAAGTGATGTGCTTATCCTCGAGAGCAGCTCCGGGCGTCTTTGTAAGTGTAGAGAAAACCAAGATGACACTTTAAGGGGAATAAAATATAGAAACCAGAAAAGCCGTTACCTGGAGGATTTCTTTTCTCTCCGCCCCTCCCCCCCGCCTTTTTTTTGTTTTTGTTTTTACTCAATGACACAATTTTTAGTTTTATTTCCTGATAGCAAAAGGAAAAAAACAGCTCCCCCAAAAAAGGCTAAGGCCCCCGTCCCCCTGTTGTCGGTGATTTGTTTGTCTTTCTGATAGGTTGAAAATTGTGTAATAAACTTGATGACGCTGTCAATCTTTTATACTGCATTGTATTTTTTTCCTTTTGTAACAAAATATTTTTAAATAATAAATGGGGTGTGAGCTGTTTTCTGGATTCTGCATTGAATAGATTTGTTGAGGTGTCTGGGCTTGGGGCATGGGCTGATGGAGATGCTGCAGAATGGTGCCAAGAGCCCAGGTTCTGCAGAGCTAGACACGTGTCAGGCAACAGGTTCTCTACAGCCATCACAGCTGGCTATGGTAAGCCTCCTCTGGTGCGTCTCCCCGCCCGGAGATCAGCTTTTTTCCCTTGGCCATCTCAATAGCCTGATTAAAGAACGCTTCCACCGGGCACACATCATGACACAGCAAGTTAAGCCACCAGTTGGGACACCTGCATCCCACACGGAGTGCTAGCTCATGCCTCGCAGCTGTTCTGCCTCTGATCTACTTCCTTATTAAGAGGCCCGAGAGGTTGATGATGGCCTGAGGACTTGAGGTCCCTGCCAGACATGTGGGAGACCAGTTCCTGGCTCCTGGCTGTTGGAGCATTTTGGGGAATACGCCAGTAGATGGAAAATCTGTTTCTTCTTTCTCAGCTCTGCCTTTTAGATACATAACATACATGCCTTCTTTACCTCATCACTCATTTTCATAACAAATGTCCTGCTTTGGACAGTTCTAGTGCTATGAAGTTCGGGGAGCCAGCATGGCCTAGTTCAGTCATCTTCACCTGAATGAGCAGCCAACATTTGGAGAAGGTGGAAATGTAAGTTACTCTGCCTTCTGGTAAGATGTTCCAAGAAAATGTGTTGCCAATTGGACTGCGACCTAAATGTGAGAAAGTATGCATTGGCTTCAAATTGTTATGAGGCAGTCTTGGGATCCCAGACTTGCTTAAAAAGCCAGGTGAACAAGAAAAGTTAGCTGATAAAGACAAGATAATATGTAAGGTGTATGTATAGATATGTAGCCTTCAGGAGAAAGGGAATTCCCTAGCAGGTTTAGGATGTGAAACCTGAAGGGAAGGAAAGACATCAGTGAATTTAAAACCACAGTTTGTGTCCTAAATACATTCTGACCTGGGCCAGACCTCAGCTCAGAGATGGCCCCTCCAGATGGCTTGGCTAGAGGGTGCTAGTGTGTAACCCGGCTGTGCCTCCTTGCCTGTGGACTCAGTAACAGCTGCCCAGCTGTCCGCCCTGCCTGTTCCTGTGGCTCACTGCATCTGCACACATGGCTCCAGTGACCATCAGGAAAAATAAACATTTCCAGAACCGCAGTCATGTTCTCGTTTCAGCCATGATCTTCATCCTTAAGAGGAATCTGTTAAGAAGCATCAGTTTCCTTGATCCAGACTGATCAGCTGTGTGACTGCCACACCACTGAACACTAAAAAGTGGGTAGAACAGACTTCATGGGTCTCTAAGGTCTCCTTGAAGTTGAACATCTAGATTTTACGTTACCTCTAAACTTCCAGCTGAGCCTTCTATTCACTTCTGTTGCCTGGGCTTGTGCTGGGGGGCCATGAAGAAAGACCCCCCTCTATAGTGTCAGGCCATCAAAGCAGGGCTAGAGAAAGCAGAAGAGGCCGCGGAATATTGGTGCTACAGGAATGTGTGACTCAACTGAGGGAAGACTACCTTCTATCCGAGTCACAGCACCAATTATCGGGGGTCCTCCCGTCCCGCAGAAGAAATCACCCGACACTTGAGAGTCTCCAAGGCGCTTTTATTGCGATCTTCCGTTGAAACCGTTATGTCCGTTACGCTGATGCCCCTGTCCCACCAAGCCCCCTGCTTATCTGTCAAACTTGTCCAATCAGCTTAAAGATAACCAAGGCACAACAATCAGGGCAAAGTGCCAATCACAGGGCAGGAAATGGTCAGCGCCCCCAACAGAAGACTCCTGGATTCTGTTAAGGATTTCGTTGTTGATTAGACCCAACTGCTGTGTTTGGACAGAACTCAGCTAGGCACCAGCAGCACTGGACAAGGTAGCAAACAAGAAAAAGGCTCAACACAGTGGAACTAGAATGAGCCTGCTCATAGGAAGACCAGCATAGATGCCTAAAGCTCAGCTACTTTGAGAGCAGCTATCCTAGGGATCTGACAGCAGAGAGAAGGGCCTTTAGTTTTGAAATTGATGCAGTTTGAGCTAAGAAAAATGGAACTGTCATGCGTAACGAGGAACAGTTTTAAAGATGATTGTCTTACTGGGAAACTAGATACTCATCTAGGACAACATATCTAACATTAAGAAAGGTACGTGTTCCTTATATAATGGTCTTCCAAAAGCTGCTGGACAAGTATTTTAAGAAACTGCATGAACTTCAAGAACTTCAAAATTGTAGCAAAGATTTTATATTCCTACAAACTTTTTGATAGACCCCCTGTGTGCTAACTGGTTTTTAAAATAAACTTTAAAATGTTAGTGAGATTCAAATCTGCTTCTAGTTACGCATGGTCCACTTTAGAAAGCAGCTGCCAATCATCTCAAGGAAGGAAGACCTCAGTCACTGCCTTGGTGTCATGCCCCCACCAAGTACAGCCGGAGAGCAAACTGCACGGACTGTCCCACCCCTCAGACTGGATGAAGCCATTAAGAAAACGCTCAATTCCACCACAAAAAATACATTTATTATAAAATAGTGTTTCATAATGAGCATAGAAAAATAACTATGAACTACTATAAAAGTTTGGGAGCTCAGTCTCTGGGAGGAAGAGGGTAAGAGCCCAGCAGGGCAGGTGCTGCCTGGCACACCCTGTGAGCGTGCAGCCCAGGTCCGCAGGAAGCAAAGTATTCTGGCCACAGTGATCAAAGAGAACTTGAGCTCAGCGTGGAGTTCTGAGAAGGGCCAGGCCAGGGCTGGCCTTACAGGCTGTCGGGTAGAAGGGTCAGGGCCGATCGTCCTGGTTCCGAAGATGCCGCGTTCCAGCCTTGGGCTGGGGTGGCTGCCCAGATAATGTGTGCCATGGGAAAGCTGTGCTTTCTTCCCCAGGATAGCCAGTTCTCACTGGTGTGGCTAAAGCACCGCAGTACACGCTTGCAGCTCTGATGGGCTGCTGGCTGACATCTGTCTACATCAAACCCTGTCCATACTGATGGCAGAAAGAAAGAAAAAAAATGTTAGAAGAGTAGTGAGGGGCTGATGCCATGCTCAAAGGCTAATCTTCCCCTTGCAAGTGCCAGCTTATACGGGCACTGATTCTAGTCCTGGATGCTCCACTTCTAATCCAGCACCCTGTTTATGGCCTGGGAAAGCACCGGAGAATGGCCCAAAGCATTGGGACCCTGTATCCATGTGGGAGACGCAGAAGCCCCCGGCTCCTGCCTTCAAATGACTCGGCCCCCTTGTGGCCATTTGTGGAGCAAATCAGCAGATAGACCTGTCTCTTTATAAATCTGCTTTTCAAATTAAAAATAAATAAATGTTTTAAAAGGGAGTGTGGGTGCAGTAGCCTAGCAGCTAAAGTCCTTGCCTTGCACGTGCTGGGATCCCATATGAGCACCGGTTCCTGTCCTGGTAGCCCTGCTTTCCATCCAGCTCCCTGCTTGTGGCTTAGGAAAGCAGTGGAGGACGGCCCAAAGCCTTGGGACCTTGCACCCACGTTGGGAGACCTTGAAGAGGCTCCTGGCTTCAGACCGGCGCAGCTCTGGCCGTTGCAGCCACTTGGGCAGTGAACCAGTGGATGGAAGATATCTCTGTCTCTCCTCTGTATATCTGACTTTCCAATACAAATAAAATAAATCTTTAAAACAAACAAACAAAAAAAATAGCTTGCCTAAACTGTTCCGTATGCCAAGGAGTGAGAATGATCCTGAAATGGAAATGGGTAACTCTCCCACCTGCCCTAAGTGGGAAAGGCAGTCCCCCAGACATACCCCCATGCTTCAGAGTCCTTTAGCTCCCTCAGGCTTCAGTCACAACCCTTCCACGCAAGAGAACCCCAAGCCCTGGCAATGGGAGACAGTACCTGGAAAAGGCGGCCAGGGTCAGCACCTCAAGCAGCAGCTCGGAGCCACAGAAGAAGAGCAAGATACCGTTCATGATGGCTTCCAGGCGGAGCACATAAGTCTGCAGCAGCAGGTAATAGGAGGCCATCATGGCAGATGGCAAGGTCAAGGCCACACTAATACCAAGGGGCATCTTTCGCTGGCAGAGGTTTCCCTTTGTACCTGTCAGACACAGCCAATGGAGTCACCTGCAGGTGGCCTGCTTGCCCTGGCTTGGGAGGAAAGATGCGAGGGATGTGACACAGAACCAAAGCAGAGACGCTCCTGAGGGGGTGTAGATGGGGTCCCCTGCAGCAGACACTGGGGGAGCTGTGCGATTATGGGCTGGGAGTCACTGACTCAAGTCTTGCTTCCAACCTAATGGCCACTCAAGGACAATGGGATCTTCAAGTGGGAAACCAGTTTTTTAATTACAGAAATAACACATATAACCACTGAAAATATTATAACACGTGCTCATGGATATCATTGAAAATGTCTCCAAATAATAAATAAAACTTTAGAAATACAGAAAAACTTCTATGTCTCCATCGTAAAATGATATAAATGGTACTATCAGAGTTTATATGCATATTGATATTACCTTACAGCTTTTTTTTTAAAAAAAAAGAGATTTCTTTATTTTTATAGGAAAGACAGATTTACACAGAGGAGAGACAGAAAAATCTTCCATCCGTTGGTTCACTCCCCAAATGGCTAAAGGAGCTGGAGCTGAGCTGATCAAAAGCCAGGAGGAAGGCACTTCTTCCACGTCTCCCATGTGGATATAGCAGTCCAAGGACTTGAGCCATCCTCACTGCTTTCCCAAGTCATAAGCAGGAAGCCAGGTGGAGCAGCAGGGACACCAACCAGCACCCATACAGGATGCCAGTGCTTGCAGGTGGAGAGTTAGCCAGTTCAGGCATTGTGCCAGCTCCTTTGTAATTTATTTTTTTCTCATAGACTTAGCTAACTTATTTTTCGATGGTTGTATATGATTTCACCAAGCCAACTGCATCACTGAACTACTCTTATATTTCATAGCTTGTTTCTAATGCTTTGATGTAAGATTGTTAACAAGCATTCTCATACAGCAATTGGCATATTTGTGAAATTTTGCTTTTGTAATACAGTTTTAGAAGTTTACTTGTTAGGTCTAAGAATATAAACCTCAGGGGAGAGTGTTTGACCCAGCATTTAAGCTGGCTCTCGGGATGCCTTAGACTATCCGAGTAGCTGGTTCAAGTCCCAGCTCCTTTGCCCCAGATTCAGCTTGCTGCAAATGTGACTTGGCAGGCGGCAGATGACTCAAGTACGTGGACCCCTGCCACACACATGGCTCCTTGCTCTGTTCCAGCCCATCCCTGGCTGCTGCAGGCATTTGGAGGTGAACCAGCAGACAGAAAATTCCCTCTCTGCTTCTGTGTTTCTGCCTTTCATATAAAATGAAAATTTAAAAAAATAGAGATAAGAATGTTTTAGATTTATTTGTTTTCATTTGAAAGGCAGGTTTATAGAGAGAAAGGTCTTCCTTCTGCTGTATCACTCCCCAAATGGTCGCAATGGCTGGAGCTGGGCTGGTCCAAATCCGTTAGCATGGAGCTTCTTCCAGATCTCCCATGCCTTCCCAGGTGTACCAGTGGGGAACAGGATTGACAGTCAAATTGCTGGTACTCAAGACAAGCGCCCATATGGAATGCCAGCACCACAGGCAGAGGTTTAACCTAAAACGCCATAGAACTGACCTCAAAAAAAGATATGAATTTTACACAGTAATAAATAACAACAAGGCAGTATTAATTTATAGTCCCACAAAAATATGTAAAACACTCATTCCAGGGCAAGTTTTTGGCACAACCATCAAGCAGCTGCTTGGGACTCTATTCCATACTGGAGTATTTAGGTTCTAGTCCCAGCTATGGTTGACAACAGTCAAGTCTCCTGGCCCAGCTTCCTTCTAAACAAAGCACGCCCTGGAGGCAGCAGGTGGCAGCTCAAGTTCTTTGGTCCCCAGGACCCACGAGGCAGCTCGGAACTGAGCTATGAGCTCTTGCCTCATCCTGCTCCAACCCTGGCTGTTGTAGGTGTTGGGCAACGAACCAACCAGCAGATGGGAGGATCTCTGTCTCTCAAATAAAAAGGAAAAGAAAAATTTCTTTTAAAATTCCCATCCCCACTGGAGAGTGTAAATTCTTTAATTGTAGCCAATTTGAAGAACAGAAAAAAGTTGCCTTGTTTCAGCTGGCTGTTTCCTTAGTGAGTTTTGGCACCCTGTCAAGCTTTTTTAAATCCCCTATAATTATTCTAGTAAGGATTACCTATTAATGTTTCTTTCCCATTTTTAAAGTTAGTTTGTTTTGGGGCCTGTGTTTGATGAAGCATGTTAAGCCTCCACCCACAGTGCTGGCATCCCATATGGGATTTGAGTCCTGGCTGCTCCACCAGAAATCTAGTTCCCTGCTAATGTCCTGGAAAAGCAGCAGAAGATGGCTCAGGCATTTGGGTCCCTTTACGCACATGCAAGACCTGGGTGAAGCCTGGACCAGCCCTGGCTATCGCAGCCATCTGGGGAGTGCACCAGCAGATCAAAGAGCTCTGTCTCCCCCTTCTCTCTGTAACTCTGAAAAGAAGCCTGTTCTAGAGGGACATTTATGCAAAGAAGTAGAGGGGACCTTAGCTCTGTGTATGCTGCCCTGCACATGCAGTTACAGCTGGATCTTTCTCTCAAGTGAACCAGCAACAGCTGCTAGGCACCCCTGCAAAGATGAAGCAATTAGGGAGAAAATTCTGTAATAAGCCGTGCTATTGCCCCCCTCCAGCCCTACAGGCAAAGCTACACCCCAAATGGGAAGGAGCAGCTTGAAGCTTCAGACAGGAAAGTAATGAGATCGGCCACCAGATCCAATCTTGGGAAGTGAGCTGAGCATAGTTCTTCCCGGTAATCAAGTTACAGATACCAGCTTGTCTCAGAGGGAGGAGAAACATAGTCTCTGGATGACACTCACCGAAAAACAGACGGATTATTTCAACTCCAAGGTAGAGGAACAGCATCACCACGTCCAGGATGAGATTGGCTGTTGGGTACGGCAGCAGGAGCCCTGCCGGCAACACAGTCAAGGTTAAAGCAACACGGGACAGTGCCCATGAGGACAGTCACAGCCCAGGGACCAGGGGGGCACCCTGAGACAGAGCCACAGAAATGTTGACTCAGGGCGTGGCTCTGTCTCCAGGAGGCAAGCAACACAGGACAGTAATGGGCGTCTTTTATCTCTCTCTCTCTCTCTCTGTAAACCTGCCCTTCAAATAAAAATACATCTACATTTCTAATTCCTAGGATCAGAAGTCCTTGGGGATTTCCCTCTCCAGAACGACTAGATGTACACAGACCACTGAGTAGCTTCTAGAGGTGACCAACAGGTTTCAAGCCCCCCAGTTCCCCAGAGCCGTGATGGGAGAACCCCACGAAGACGCCCCCATTTCCCAAGCCGTTTTGGTCGCGGGGCTTCTTTTGAGCCAATCTCCAAGAATCCCTTGGAAGAAACTTCTGCCTTGCAGGGAGGAAAAATGAAAAAAAAAAAAAAAACAAAAACCTTGTACAAGGCCCTTGGGAGGGGCTGGCTCTGGGATGTGAGGTTAGGAAGCCGGGCCAGCAGAAGTCAGACGCCAAGCCTTACCTTTATAGAGGAATATGAAGAGTTCCAGCAGGAAATAAGTGGCATAATACCACCCGTTCAGAAAAAACAGGATCTCCAGCGGGGTGGAGGACAACCGTTTACCTGCCAAGAGAGCACGGGCAAGTGGCACGGGCAGAAGCGCGGCCAAGCTGCCAGGGGTCTGGGTTTAAAGCAGGCAGCACAAGGATGCGCTAGAGGGACGGGACTGCTGATCGCGAAGTGGCAGGGCGAGGGGTCAGCGTGTGGCGGCCGTTTCCTTCCAGCAATCATCGTCAAGCCAAGAGCTAACTCACAGGATGCCGCGCCTGGAAGGCACTGACCCCGTCGCCACGTGGACCGGAGCACAGGGGCGCAGGGGGTTCGCAGGTGAGTCGGCCTAGAAGACGCCCAGCCAAGGACTCAGGGTCCCGAGCACTGCAGCCCGTAAGACCCCCAACCTGGAGACCCTCCGGGCACCAGGAGGTGCGCGGGGCAACAAAACTCTTCTCCGACCACGTGAGGACCAACGGTCCAAACGCCTCAGAACGGAGGGTTAAGGCCGAACTCCGGGAGAGAAGCAGGGAACGGGCAGACAGAAGCTTAGACAGACCCGCCGGCGGCTCACACACCTCCGGAAGCTCACCTCGCGACGCCATCTCCAGTCCCCATGGAGACTGTGTGCGCCCCGAGAGCGGCTCCCGGGGCAGCGAGGCGCTGCCGGAAGCGGCGGACAGAGCGGCCGGGGCCGCTGTGGCCTCTCTTCCGGCTGGCAGCACTCTATGGTTGAGCGCGGAGCCCAGGCGATGGCGGGGCTGCGCGTGCGCGGGGTGGGGGTTGGTGTGATGTCCACCGGCCTCCGGGACGGGGCGGCCCCGGGGGACAGGACGTCCGGGCGAGGTACCCCGGCAGATGTGTGGTTCCTAGATTCGTCTGGGCATGAGAATCCCTGTGGGCGACGGTCCGGTGCAGTGTGCTCCAGTTGGGGAGTTGTGTGCCAGATAACACCCCGTTAGGAGCCGGAAAACAGCCTTCATTCCAGGAGCACGCATAAATAAGGTTCGAAGCTGAAAGGCGAGCCGCCGATTGCAGCGGGCGTGAGGGGGACAGAGATTGAGTGCTGGGGTGTGAGTTAGGCAGTAGTTGGCACTTCTCCTAGATTTTGAGGGAAAGGGCAGACGCAATTCTTTGATCCCATAGTGTGTGTGTGTGTGTGTGTGTGTGTGTGTGTGTGTGTGTGTGCAAGGCCCTTCTGGCTCCAGGGTGGGACAGCCTGGGAACCAGCGGGTAAATAGGCACTGATGACCCTCCTGCACCCGCACCGTCTCCCATTTTCAGAACTTCAGGGCAAATGGGCGGGCACTTCTGCAGGGTCCCCTTCGCAAAGCCCAGCGCAAACTGGAGGTCGGAAGGGCTCCAGATCCTACAACCCATCTCCAAGGCTGGCGGACAGGAAACCCCGGGCAAGTTTCTACTATGGATCTCAGAAGTAAGATGGGCTAGCATTTGGTTTTGACTATAAGTGCTTTTAGGAAAAAATTACTGTTCCCAATCAATTACATAATGTGTATTTAAAAAAAAGGATTTATTTGAAAGTCAAAGACACAGAGGTCGAGGGAGAGCTCTTCCATCTGCTGACTCACTCCCCAGATGGCAAAGGCTGGGTCAGGTGAAAGCAGGAGCTTCGTTGGAGTCTCCCATATGGATGGCAGGGGCCCAACCATTGGGGCCGCCCTCTGCTGCTTTTCCCAGTCCATTCGTCTCAGAGAGTTGGGTCAGAAGTGAAGCAGCAGGCCTGGACCGGTAGCCTAGTCACTAAGACTCCTCACCCTCCAGCCGCTGGGATTCCACATGGGTGCCAGTTCTAATCCCGGCAGCTCCACTTCTCATCAAGCTCCCTGCTTGTGGCCTGGGAAAGCAGTGGAGGACGGCCCAAAGCCTTGGAACCCTGCATCCGTGTGGGAGACCATGAAGAAGCTCCTGGCTCCTGGCTTTGGACCAGCTCAATTCCGACCATTGCAGTCACTTGGGGAGTGGATTAGTGGATGGAAGATCTTTCTGTCTCTCCTTCTCTCTGTAAATCTGACTTTCCAATAAAAATAAATAAATCTTGAAAAATAAATAAAAAGAGGTGACGCAGCCAGGTCTTGAACTGGCGCTCACAGAAGATGCTGGCGTTAGCAGCAGAAGCTTTCTCTAACACCATGACAGCAACCCTCTCCTGCCACAGTGTGTATCGCTTTCATGCTCCAATGGAGGTTGCCTTGTTAGAAATAGTGGCCACGGGCATGGCGGCGTGGCCTAGCAGCTAAAGTCCTTCACCCTGAACACGTCGGGATTCCATATGGGCACCAGTTCTAATCCCGGCAGCCCCACTTCCCATCCAGCTCCCTGCTTGTGGCCTGGGAAAGCAATTGAGGACGGCCCAAAGCTTTGGGACGCTGCACCTGCGTGGGAGACCTGGAAGAAGTTCCTGGCTCCTGGCTTCAGATTGGTGCAGCACCGGCCGTTGCACTCACTTGGGGAGTGAATCATCGGATGGAAGATCTTCTCTGTCTCTCCTCCTCTCTGTATATCTGACTTTTCAATAAAAATAAATAAATCTTTAAAAAATAAATAAATCTTAAAAATAAAAATAGTGACCATGTGGCCTACAGCCTTCAGTGCCATCTGGCCCTTTGAAAGCAATACCTGACTGACCATGTCAGAGAATGCCACCCAACCGCACAGCTGCCACAAAGAAGCAGATCAGACTACAGCACAGCCAACAGCTAGAGTCTGCTCAGGGCAGCCTGGGTCTGGGAGTGATTTCAGCATGGCAGCTTCAGTCCTGTGTCACGTCATGGTCAAAGCATCCAAGGTAAAGGACTCAGCAACTTAAAAAAAAAAAATGTTTTTTTAATTGCAAAGTTAGATATATAGAGAGAGGAGGGGAGACAGAGAAGAAATCTTCCATCCAGTGATTCACTCCCCAAGTGACCGCAACAGCCAGTGCTGCACCAATCCAAAGCCAAGAGCTAGCAACTCCTGCCAGGTCTCCCACGCAGGTGCTTGGTCCCAAAGCTTTGGGCCATCCTTGACTGCTTTCCCAGGCCACAAGCAGGGAGCTGGATGGGAAGTGGGGCTGCCAGGATTTGAACCAGTGACCATATGGTATCCTGGCACGTTCAAGGTGAGGACTTTAGCTGCTGGGCCACTGTGCCGGGCCCTTTTTTTTTTTTTTTTTAAGCAAGCAGCAAGCAAAGCCAGACCTCCCTTTCCTGGGGAGGGAGATACTGTGCTGTTGTCACTGTTGGTCATGTTGATGACCCACGGAAGTGCTTGGGTCCTCAATGTCATGATGTTTCAGTCAGCAAAACCAAGGGACACTTGGGATCCAGGCTGGTGCCTGGCCTTCACAGGATCCTTCAGAATATATATGTGTGTTTAAGAGAGAGAGAGAGAGAGATCTGCCTGCTGGTACCCTTCCCCAGAGCCCATGCTGGTCGAGCTGAGCCAAGCTGAAGCCAGGAGCCAGGAGTTCTCCCACTTGGGTTGAAGGGGCCCTGTACTGTGAGCCATGTCTGCTACCGCCCAGGGTATGCAATGGCAGGAGGCTGAAATTAGGAGGATCATGGGACTCGGGCACTCAGAAATGGGATGCAGGCATGCCAGGCAGCATCTCAGCAGCTGCACCAAATGCCCGCCCGAGTTGCAGACACCGCTTTAAAGAAAACTTGCTTTCCTAGCTTACTGGGAGCTTGGTGACAGTCTTGTGATCTCAACCCCATTCCGTTGCTGTGATGAATTGTAGCTGATCTTTCCATCCAGAGGAGAAAATTCATTTTGTTACGATGTGGTGCATAAGAAAGCTTCTCCAGAGCCCAATGTGGAAGCTGGGGCTTCCGTCCTTGGAGAGCCCAGTTTGCAAGGTGGATCCCTGGCTGGTGCTGGGGAATTGGGGTTTTGCAAGGGCTCGCACCAATCCAAAGTGGTGAGACCCCTGTTGTTGTGGCTGAGCATATTACGCGACAGCCTACACCACTACATCCCATATCAGCACCAGTCCCAGCTGTTCTCCTTCCCATCCGGCTCCCTGATAATGCAACTGGGGAAAGCCCCTGCACCCACATGGAGACCCTGATGGAGCCCCAGGCTCTTAGTTTCAGCCTGGCCCAGCCGTGGCCTCTATGGCCATTTGGGAAGTGAGCCAGTGCATGGAAGCTCTGTCTTCCCCTCAGATTCTGCCTTTCAAATAAACTTTCTTTTAAAATTTTATTTTATTTTACTTTATTAAAAATTTTTTTTTAATTTGTTGAAAAGTCAGATATCCAGAGAGGAGGAGAGACAGAGGGGAAGATCTTTAATGCATTGATTCTCTCATCAAGCGGCCACAACAGCTGCACCTGAGCTGAGCCGATCTGAAGCCAGGAGCCAGGAGCCTCTTCTGGGTCCCAATGAAGATGCAGGGTCCCAAGGCTTTGGGCCGTCATCCTCCACTGCTTTCCCAGGCCACAAGCAGGGAGCTGTATGGGAAGTGGGGCTGCCAGGATATGGATGTCACCCATATGGGATCCCAGTGCGTGCAAGATAAGGACTTTTAGCTTCTAGGCTACAGCACTGAGTCCAACTTTTTTTAAGTGGCTCATAGTGGCTACACTGTACTAACAGTAGGATGTGTGTGGAATGCCTGTCTGAAAGTCTGAAATTGGGGCACATTGTGGGCAGAGGGCACCTCTGGTTCCTCGTGGAAACCTTGCACGTGGAATCTCCAGGGAGCTGCCCCGGAAGAAGACATTTCAACTGCATTGGCAGAAGGTGGTGCCGGTGCAGCAAAGCACATTGTGAGATGGGTGGAAGTTTACTCCTGGCTTCCTCTGGACTGCTCCCCGTTCCCATTTTCCCTTGTCTGTATATTCTGTCACTGTACTAAATTGTCACTGTGTAGACGCGTGGATACCAAGTCCTTCAAGTCTTCCTGGCAGGTCATCAGTGGAGCTGCCGGGATTAGAACTGGTGCGCATATGGGATCCCAGCGCGTTCAAGGTGAGGACTTTAACCGCTAGACTGCGCCGTCAGGCCCAAGTGTTTTTTTTTTTTTAAAGACAAATTTATTTTGTGTAAGAAATTTTGAGGGGCTGATAGTGTAGCACAGTGAGTTAAGCAGCCACCTGTGATGCCAGCATCCCATATGGGTCCTAGTTTGTGTCTCAGCTGCTCTACTTCAGATCCAGCTCCCTGCTAATGTGCCTGGGAAATGCAGTGGTGAATAAAAATGTGCTTGGGCATCTGAATCCACATGCAAAACCCGATAGAAGTTTCTGGTTCCTGGCTTTGGCGAAGTCCAGGACTGACCACTGTGGCCATTTGGGGAATCAACTAGCAGATAGAAGATGTCTTTCTCTTTCTCCCTGTCTCTCTACTCTCACATCACTTGGTCAAATCAATCAATAAATAAATTTCTTTAAAAGAAGTTATGAAATCTGTGCATTTTTAAAATATCTTACATGAACTTTTTTTTTTTTTAGTTTTATTTATTTAAAAGAGATAAAGTGACAGAATTTTTTTCTGCTGCTTCACTCCTCAAATGTCCAAGACAAATAGGACTAGGCCAGGCTGGAGCCAGGAGCCAGGGGCTGCTTCCAGGTCTCCAATGTGCATACACAGGTCCAAGCACTTGGGCCGTCCTCCTGTGCTTGCCCAGGTGCAACAGCAGCGA